CGCAATATGGTTCATGGGGTCACGAAGAGTCGGACACAACTTAACGACTAAACAACAATAAGTCTGCTACCTTCGCTCCGCCAAACATGAAAAAAAGTTAGGTTGCGGAAGTTTTGACATTATTGAAATAGGAGTCTTTGATGTCGCCAGGTGGCCTTATTGGGGAAATCAGTGCTTTTGAATGGCTATTTTGTTCTCAAGCTGCAGCTATTCCCAGCATTCAGAGGCAAGAACTATATTTGTTCAAATTGTGCCTGTTACACAATTTTTGTAATGTATTAAAAAGCTCTCTCCTTCGTTATCCTTGCTGCTATATAAGATTCCTAGGAAAACAGTATCATGGAGTTTCTAATCTCATCTGATTTTGTACTTATTGCAGTCAACTCCAAAGCCACTCTAAAGTTTCCCAAATCTTGCTTCAGGACTAACAATTATAAATATCTGGTGCTCCTACTTTATTTAACTGTTGTAAATCTATCAATAGAAAGATTAGATATATGTATAATATGTTTATATCTTCATAAATAGTTTGGTGTTGCTTAACATATACTAAGTTTTATCAGTGTTGCTCTTGTTCATGCCACAGCAATAGAGGCATTTTGCAAAACTTGAATTTCAAGGTTCCTTAACACATAACCTGAGTTTGGCACAGTACTAACCAAAGGCATACCCAATAGCTTGTTATCATACAAGATGTTATAAATTAATAATCCACATTTTGTGCTTAAGGCAATGATTTATTTTTGTATGGATGGATGTTAGTACCTGACATCTCTAAATCAAGAAAAGACAGACTTCAGGCTTGCAAAGACTGCTTTGGTTTTCATTAGAATTCCAAAGCCCATCATTCACAGCTATATTCAAAATAGGCGATATAGGTCAATAAACATATATCAAGAACTAAGGAATAGATGGCTCTTGGATTTATTTGGAATTCATAGTTAGTATGAGAATCAACCTGACAAGTCCTTAACATCCACTTCAGGTTTATGCCAAGGAATGATTTTATAGCAAGTTAGTCTGATGATGAGAGGAATATTTTGTTGTTATTGCTAGACGTTAGGTAATCAGATTCTCGTAAATATACTGACCTATAAATTGTAATTTCCTTCTACCCATCCTTGCCTAAATAATTCTATTCTCCACTGAAGAATCACAATTAGGTCTGTAAGAAACATGAGACAGACCAGAAAGGTCCATATGTTTAGCATATTTGGAGTAACTACAGATTTTTAAAAATCATTATTATTAAAAATAATAACCTAAACTACTCTGGGCGGCTTACAACAGGTAAAAAACAATCCAATAAAAACAAGTCAAAAACCAATATCAAACACATATATTTGTATAATATAATGGGGACGTGATTCTACTTGTTTCCAGTGGTTTTTGGGGCAAATTCCTTTCTTGACCTAGGCCATGACGGTACAGGAACTGTTACCCAGGAGTGTGACACCACTATCATGACCACTAACTTTGTTCAGATCAGCTATTCTACTATATACTGGAACTGGATACTTCCTAAGAGCAAGAAGCTCATTCCATCAAGAATATCTTTACACACAAACCTTTTGACCAGCAGGCAGGTAATAGTACACATGATACATTGTGTGCAGTATATTGTTGGAGAAAAATCTGTACAAGTGAACTCCTGTTTCATCCCATTTGCGACTTACAAGTTTTTTCTCCTTCTCAAGATGTGGTTTGCTTTGTCTACTCAAGCAAGACACCAGAGTACTTAAGTCTCCAAACTCTTTATTATAGGTTTGCAAAGCCAGGTCAAGCACATACAGACACGTTAAGCAACATTTCATGGGCAAAACCCCAACCCCGATACACAGGAAACAGGGTGTATTTAATCAAGCAACAAGGATGGATGGATGGATGGATGGATTTGTGCCTCTGAGTCAGTGTTGACTCCTGTGAGTCTGGTCACTTTTCTTGGCAAGATTATTTCAGAAGTAGCTTGCAATTGCCTGCTTCCTGGGGCTGAGAGAGAGTGACTGGCCCAAGGTCACTCAGCTGGCTTTGTGCCTAAAGCAGAACTAGAACTCACAGTTTCCCAGTTTCTAGCTTGGTGCCTTAACCACTATACCAAACTGGGTCTCAACAAGGAAAAACAGGATTATAAATATACATACATATATTTCTATTTCTATTTTCTATTTCTTTTAGTTTGTATTAGTTTTTACTGTTGTAATTGCAATCTATATATAGTAATTTTATTAATTACAATTGCAATTACAACTGTAAAAACTAATACAAACTAAAAGAAAAAGAAAAGAAAATTAGAAATAGAAATAGAAATAGAAAAGAAAGAAAAATAAGAAAATAGTAAAGAAAAAGAAAAAGATATAAAGAAGTGACTTCCTCCTTCATCACAACAAGTGTAGATAATTTTAGTAAGTTATCACTTCTTAAAATACAACAAATGATCTCCCTGTATCCCATCTCTTATCTATAAAAAAATCCTTAAAGCCACGTCATTTCAGTCCTGATGTCAGCAAAAGTCCATTAAGGTCACCAGAAATAACAATGTATCTATTTTAACCTTGATCAAATAAAC